TTACACTAACGTGATGTTTAGGCGGTTCGTGTAACTATTATACGTGATGAAAGTGTTCCAAAACGCGATATTAATTTCTTGACGACCTAATACTTTTATCATCGTGAAAAAGATGCATATTTAATTCTGTATATATGAACATATAACACAATTCGAGCATGTTTGGTGTGACGGGGATTCGAACCCGCGACCCTCAGATTACAAGTCGAGCGCCATAACCACCTGGCCATGTGTAATAGTGGATAAATATAATTGTCGTTTGTTTTCTGTTTCACCGGTTCTTCTTGACTACTGGATATGTTCTTTTTTTGCCATTTCATTATTGTCAGCAGCATTTCTTTTCTTTCCTACAGACTAAAATATACCATAATACATAATTAGTAAAACACAGCAACGTTAATTATTAATATAATGAATATGACTGAAAACAAACATTACTATCCCAAAAAACCAATAACAGAAATTCGATTTATAAGCAAAGAAATATTTTTCAATATACTTAATTTTAAAGGCTGGTTCATCATTTTTTTTTCATATAGCCTCCAGTGGCACAGCGGCACGTCTGCGGACTTAAAACGCTAAAAACCGGGTTTTGATACCCATGGTGGGTAGAGCATAGATAGCCCTTTGTGTAGCTTTGTGCTTCACTACAAACAAAACAGAAATAAATTTTCCGTGTAGTAGAACTGTATCAGTCTAATTGTTAGTGATGAAAGGGACAGGATATTGATATTTGAAAAAGTAACACATTTTACTGAACTTTAGGCTGTTTGTTGTACACTGATATTATAAATAGTAAAGTTAAACAGTAAGTCGTTCATTCATTGTACTTAGTTGTAGCAAAATGATATAAATGAAATCATACATAGAAAATTAACATAAGAATATCCCTTTCAAAGAGGGAAGGCTGTCAAGTGGGTTGCATCCTTGACTTGTTCCCAAACGTGGCGTGTTCACACAAGGGTCGACATTCAAATTTGACCCCTTTACGTCACTCAACTATGTCCTTCCCGTTTGTATTACGAGTATGTCAGCTCGTAACTCTAAAACGGAGAATATTTTGAGGGATCCAACAAAGTTTGTTAAGTTGAAAAGAGATACCACGAAAACTAGAGAAATTACAAGTTATATATTGAAACTTTAAAAATCATAGTTTATCCCCATTAAATCAATATTTTAGTGTAAGGCCATCTGGTTGTCACACATGTGTTTTATATGATGTTTCTAATTTGGATAAGGAGGGCTGTTCAGTTGGATCTATAGCTTTTTAAACAATTTACACATAATTAACATACTGTTAGACATACTTCTGTCTGGTTTTTTTATAACGGAATTTATAGGTTAATAAAAACTGTTTATTTTGGTAGTCGTAATGTGAAATTTCAGTACACTAACATTCACAACCGACAGTGGACATTTGACATCGGAATGATGACCGATTTCTAAGTATGTTTTTCAGGAATTGCTGAGATTCACCACCAAAGAATCTCATTTCTTTTTGTACAAAGTAATTTATTTGGACTATCACCACGTTTTTTTTTAGTTTTTATAATGCACAAACTTTCGGGTCAATTACCTAAGCCTTCTGCAGGTGCGAGACGTTTAATAAACAACAGGGTGATAGTCCAAATAAATTACTTAATACAAATATGACTTTTTTTTTCTCATAGTCCTTGCGGACCGTTGAGCCGATGGCAGAACTTGCTCTGCCATCGTTTCTAAAGCTGTTTCTTAATGGTGGGCAGAGTACACATAGCCCATTGTGTAGCTTTGTGATCAATTCCAAACAAACAAATAAAACCGCTGGACCGGCGGGTATCGAAACCCGGTTTCTAGCGTTGTAAGTCCACAGACATGCCGCTGTGCCACTGGCGGGCCGGTCCAGCGGTTCACCAGTTATAAGCGGGCACTCACATAGACTTTTGTAAAATATAATGGTTTAAATCATCTACTTTATTCAGTGTTACTACTCCATTTCCTTTATCAGGCTTCATAATCACTAATTAATATTTTTTTACTAATACGTGTATAGCTGTTTATACCTCCTTATTAAGATTATTAGACTTATATTAAGAGTTATAATTGCTACGTTAGGTCAGTTGTATCTCTACGGGTTCGTTTGGCGTCGTAGGCATGAAAATGATGATCTCTTGAGGCAAATATTTAAGAATATTTCTGAATTTTCACATTGAATTTGTTACAATGTAACTAGATACTTTGTATTGTCTTGTTGTTTTGCAATTCTTTTAAATACATAGGTATCTAAGTAATGCTAAAAGTACTTTGTTTTGTATGCAAAATAAAAAAATAAAACTTATTTCTTTTAAGTTCTCCAAATTTTAATTTATATTTCTGAAATCAGCATTAAAAACTACATTCAAAAATATATATTTCCTTCTATTTTAGCGTGGTGCATGAAACAGAAAAGATAAAAACACACACTTAATGTTGTGCACGAATTTAATTGTATTAGATGAAGATCAAGGTATATCGGATCTACCTTGTAAAAGAACATGTAAATCTGATGGTCAATAATAAATCGAGTATACATTACGAAACATTACGGTTCATTTCAGATTATTGTGACCCTGAGTGGCGAGAAACGTTTATGCATAAAGGAGATTCTTTTAATAAAATAAATACACAACAAAAAAAGTCTGAAGTTAATATATTTTGTTCATAACCTTATATTTCAAAAAGGAAAGTACCTCAAACTCTGTTTTTTTATTAATTGTATATTTAAATGTATATAAAATCGTTATTTTTGAAAGCGAAAATACACTGTTGTATTTTTGTTTGCAGCGACCGATTTCGAACTTCTAGCAACGTTATTGGAGACTGTTACGTTGCTATGTTTGTACAAAAGCTTTGTAAACATCTTCCTGATGTGGTAGAGGACAAGAGTGCGACAAACAAACCTGTCAATGACGCAGGAGGGGGAGATGATTTGCAAGATAAGGACGTTGTTGTTACGAAATTGTAGCAGTGTACAACAAAAAATTTTGAGAGCAATAAGCAAGTGCCTTATATGATGGTTACAACAACAAAAGTGGTAAAAAAAACATATTAGGCGAAAATGAATTATGCATAGACTATAAGCTGAAAAAAAAAACAGTAATATGTCATCAACGTAATGCCTTTACACGAAATAAAATTAACGATATTCTTGAAAAACCATCGCGATTCCCACAGTACTGTTAAGTGATTTATATTCTTTTAAGGGGAGATGAAAGTCTGTAACTTGTTCACTGTGTCGTTTCCACCTGTTCAGCGTCATCCATTTTAAAGGTTTTGATGAAATTAAATAGTTTACCTATATACAATGAAAATTATGCTGAAAAGTATTATATCTAAATACATGAATAATTATCATGTGTCTTTATTTCAATAAAATGTTTGTAATTCTTATGAAGTGTTTAAGTTTTCTTCGTGCGTAAAAAAAAAACGTTTCTTTCATGACTGGAACTAATGATTACATATACAGATGAAACGACTTAGAATTTGTTTTAAATCATCAAATACTATAAGGCAGAGATTCTCAGACTGTGGTACGTGGAGCTAATGTCGGTGGTACACGATGCAATTAATATAAAAAATTTGTAACAAGCCCTATTTGAACTTTCCACGTAGATATACATACTACTCTCCTCACTTATAGATTCGCCAATATTTTCTTCCCTGCAAATTGACAAAAATGGTACCACATATTCCTCAATCGTGCCAGAAAAACAATCGCATTAATGGGTAAGTGTTAAAAATATGTATTTTTGTTACTAGGTTTGTTTGTTTTTTAGATTAGGCCTGGGTTTGTAATTAAAAAAAAAAAGTGGTACGCGAGCCTGAAACGTTTAAGAACCACTGCTCTAAGGTAAGGAATGTAGTCAGCTTGAGAGCTGAAAATACTTCCGTATGGATGTACTCTAGAACACTATAGAATGTACCCTGTGACACTATAGAATGTACTCTAGGATGCTATAGATTGTACCCTATGACACTATAGAATGTACTCTAGGATGCTATAGATTGTACCTTATAACACTATAGTATGTACCATAGAACACTATGAAATGTATCCTATGACATTATAGAATGTGCTCTATAGGATGCTATATAATGTACCCAAGACACTATGGAATGTACTCTAGAACACTATAGAATGTACCTTATAACACTATAGTATGTACCATAGAACACTATGGAATGTACCCTATGACACTGTAGAATGTACTCTAGGATGCTACAAAATGTTCCCAGAACTCTATTGAATGCATTCTAGACAACTTAGAATGCACCTTAGAATACTATAGAATGTACCCCAGGACGCTATAATGTCTTGGTGAATAGCAATAAAAGAAGGCCTAATGCAAAGCGTACCGTGTTTGCCATAATCTTCCCTTGTCATCTAAGAATTGCAACTTTGAAACTGTTATTTTAGTTTAATTTATTTTAGATTAATTTAAGTTCCAACGTATCTTATACAGTCTTAAGATACAATTTTGAGCATATAACAATTCAAGTTATAATGTATTTTAGTAGATAGATTTTCCCACAAAAGCTGACACGTGTAAGCCTTCCGTCCTAAGCTTCGACGACACAAAATAAATTTCCACAAACAAAGAGAAACAGACACAACGTAGCGATAATACAAAAGTATTAATTATTTTTCTTACGTGCAGATGTGCCCACATTAATCACTTCTCAATAATGATATAAGAAACATGCACTAGTACAGCGAATGGCGTTGCTAAAATTCTAAAAAAAAAAATATTAACCAAAAATATGAGTTAAATAAAACCACCATATTGATTAGTTTGGATAATGGTGATATCACTGGACTAATTATGACTTTAAGGCTCTATTCATGAAATTATTTCAATCCTCATAACAAATTATTTTTGCGTACGTAATAAGTCATTATTACTTTTAACAAAAATGCATTTCCGAATAACATAGTATTTCACTGTTGTTATCATCAGTCTATTTATATTCATCACCCTATATAGTTCAGAAGAGTGGTTCAAACTTTCTAAGGATTTTAAAATTCTGTTTTTTTTTATCTAAGTGTATGTATTAAGAGTGAACACATTTTCAATTAGTCTTAATTAGTACTTAACAGTGAACACATTTTCAACTAGTCTTAATTACTACAGTGAACACATTTTCAACTAGCC